TCACTCGATTAAAAAAGCAAAAGGTGTAAAAAAATCTGTTGTACAAAAAACAATAACTGCAGATGATTATCGTTCATGCTTGTTGAATAAGACATTAATTAAACGCGAGCAATTTAACATTCGAAGTCGTGATCATAATTTGGTTACCGAAAAAACGATAAAAATTGCTCTTAGCTCACACGATGATAAGCGATACATCCTCGAAGACGGGATTCATACGAAGCCTTGGGGACATTACACTATACCAGATGAAGCATATCATAGGAAATGATAATTAGCGTAATTGACATTATCGTTGTTGACTTTAATTTCTAGCTATTAGAATAGAATTGTTCAACCGTGTAATTTTATACTCTAATCATAGATTCAATGAGGTATGTTAGCATTAAAACCACAGCTTATACTTTTTCCAAAAAAAAAACAGGAAATAACACGAACTCTTCCTGTAAAACGTTGTTAGACACATGTAGTCATGTGTTAATAACAGAAAAGTTGATAAGTACCCTTCTCTCTCCATACAGCCTCATTGATTGTCTACGACTCGGTTTGCTATATAAATCACGAAAATTTGAAAATCTAGCACAGTCAGTCGACCCTTTTCGTCTACAAACGCACAACGTGAGCATCGTCAGCAGCAGCAGCATCAGCACTTGCAACGATTAAAAGTATGTAGTTAAAAATTAAATTTTTTCAAACAATAATTTTTTTGTACAATGAATACTCATACCAATGCATATTTTTATTTACAGATGGACCTAGCCACTTTCAATTCTCTCGCCAAAAACAAATACCCCCCATCGGTTAAGTTAGCCGACTTGGAACTTAATGTTGATCATATGATCAGCGGATTACGAACAGCTCGTACAAAATTTGGGGTAAAGGTAGTAGCGGACTTAGAATATGCTGATGTTGGAAAAAGATCGTTGTTTCTACCGTATCATCTTAGTGAGACTTTGCAGAAAAACGAGGCATTTTTTAATGAGCTGTGCGAAGCAGCTCAAAAGTACCAGCTGTTCTGCAGACATCACGGCAATGGAATTTTAGAATTAAAAAAGTGAAAATTGAAATTTGTTTTTTCAAAAATATTTTATTGTATTTTAAAAAAATTTTTAAAATGTATGTTTTATTATTGATAATTGAAATTTGTTACAAAAAATATATATATGTAAGCACACACATAATTGTTAATATGTAAGTGTGCGTGCGGTACATTTAAAAAATAATAATCAATTTATAAATGTATAGATTGCGCGGGATTCTACACTCTCCCATCATTTTCATGGTCTGCGATGTTAAAGCAAACAGATGTGAAATTAGATCTTATTACGGATATTGATATGTATTTGTTTACTGAACAAACGATAAGAGGTGGACTGACACAGATTTCTCATAGGCACTCACTTAGTAATAACATTTATATGGGTGAAAAATATGATCCGAGCAAGTGTGATAAATATTTGATGTATTTTAATGTAAACAATCTTTACGGGCAAGCAATGAGCGAGAAACTACCATATGGTGGCTTTGAATGGGTCGATGTTAATCAAAGTACTATACAGTAACTAGAAAAGTTCATCAAACCCGACAGTGATGAAATTGGCTACATCTGCAAGTAGATATCGAGTATCCGCAAGAGATACATGATCTACATAGTGACTTCCCGTTTTGTTGTGAACACTTATCTCCCCCAGGCTCAAAACAAAAGTAGCTCATGACGACACTATTGAAAAAAGAACGTTATATTATTCATTACTCAATGTTAAAGCAAGACATTGAAAATAATTTAAAAGTCACAAAGATTCATAAAATTTTGAAACTCAAACAAAGTGCTTGGCTCAAACCGTACATCGATTTGAACACTGAAAGACGTAGAAATGCTGATAATGACTTCTTGAAAGACCTTATAAAATTAGCGGTTAATAGTTTACTTGGAAAATTTATCGAAAATGTAAGAAAACAGGTAGATGTAAAATTAATTAATCGCTGGGAGAATCGGATATTACATATCTCAGCCGAATTTTCATAGTTTAAGCATATTTGATGAAAATTTTGTGGCTCATCAGATGCGACAAAGCGAAATAGAATTATCAAAACCCATGTATGTAGGCTCAAGTATTTTGGATTTAGCTAAATGTGTTGTGTATGATTTTCATTATAATTATATGTTAAAAGAAATTGGTCTAAAATATTGTACGTTGCTGTATACAGATACAGATAGTTTAATTTATGAAATTCGCAACAAAAATGTCTATGACTTAATAAAAAAAGATCCTCATAAATTTAACACATCGAACTAACATTCAAATCTTGTAAAGACGAATACTGGTAGTATTCGTACGACTTTATTGTAACTACATTGTAACTTGCGGTGCGTGAGCAAGCATTAGTATACAATTATATTAGATCAAATCGAGTGAACTCGTGTGAGTGACTGAGAGTGCCTGCGAGCTGGCACGTTCCACTTTTTTAGTTGGTGGGAAATCCGGCAAATAACTTAGCCTAACCTTAACCTTTTCTAATAAAAAGAAATTAATAAAACTGCGAGAAACAGCTAGCGAGCGGTTACGCATGAATTACAATTTAATGTATCTCACGCATCTTTTATGCATAATTTCGATGACACACACGACAGGTAATAAGTAACATCATTTCGGCACGCGCAGCCAGCGTGAACAATGCCGACTGGAGCGGCCTAAAACCATCACCTATTTCTTAGGCCTCTGTTAATTAAACGCTTGCAAGAACTTTTGCGAAAATACAATTCGCAAGACAAAGAAATGTATACGCGCTGCCGCGAGATGAATGAATGTCGTAGAAAACCTATAAAACTGCGGTGGCCGCGGCTCCACCGATTTCGGGAAGAGCGTGGCCCTGGGGTTTTTTAAGGTACACGCGCATGCAAGATATGTGTGAATTATCGACACATATCGAGCCGACTACATACGCTGCACCGCTAGGGCGGGGGCAAATTTAGTCGTATATAAACAACAGTAAAAGAGGATCAGTCCTCCTTCATATCTACGAAATCGCACACTACGTGTCGATACTTGTAATCATTCGACTAAAATCAAAGTTTATAAAATATATCACTTGTATTTGTAAATGCATTGTATGCATATAATTCGAGTAACGTCAACTGTGTAAATCAATTGTACTTATTCAAGTAGCTTCATAATAACTGTGTGTAAACAAATTGTACTGTGTTTGTGTGTGTGTGTGTGCCACACCATCATCGGCGAATAAATAAAGAACTGTAAGTTTATTATCATACTTCTTTTGACATTATCAGTCAACCAGTACACCGAGAATTGACCGCCAGGCTTACGTATATTGTTTGTAATTAGTTGAGTAAGTCTAGGTGTAAGTCAACCTTTTGTATTTCAATGTATGAATATCCGCGAACAAATTGAATTGTAATTATTCCAAATAAAACTGTAAGTTTATTATCATACATCATTTGACTTTGTACTCCCTTTTATCCCATAAAATATCTTTAATATTGTAAATGCATTGTATGCATATAATTCGAGTAGCTTCACAAGAGTGACTTTGTAAATCCATTGTACTGTGTTTGTGTGTGTGTGTGACACCATCATCATCAACGATTCCGAATAAATAACAGTAAGTTTATTATCATATTTCTGACTTTGTACTTCATTCCATACTACCCCTACGCAACAAGTTATAAATAAATAAATAAAAGGGTTTTCTGTTATAATTCCGACTACGGAGTATGTAACAGTATTCACTAAAAATAAGGAGAAACCTGAGACACCAATGCTTTTTTAACACTGTAGTAGCGAGATCGCGACTATTTGGAAAAGCGGCGAATTCAATCATTGATTTAACATTTGCAACGAACAACGATTTTAATAAACATTTGAGAGATGTGCTCGATTTGGCACGAAATAAGAACTTGAACAAATGTTTAATAGGAAAATATTGTTGAATAGAGGAATCAATGCATAAATAATTAAAATCATTGTAGATATTATCTTGGCAGATAAAACTCGCAACGAAATAAATAAACGTGTATTACAAATGAAACACACAACTGTAAGTGTGAAAATTCACACAGAAATCTCACGTGCCAGCAGAGCTCGATACCCAATGAAATCAAAAGATACCAATTCAACGAAAAACACTATTAAACTAGCGTAACGTCTTCTGTATCTCGCAACGAAAGTAGATAATTAAACAACGCATATTAAAAATTGCGAGTTAAAAATGTGAAAGTTTACGCAGGAATCATACGCGTCAGCACAGTTCAATGCTCGATGAAATCAGAAGATGTCAATTCAACGGAAAAGCTATAAAACTTAGGCATCCGCCATTCATTAGCATCGTCTGTCATCACGTCCTCACGGATGAGCAAATGTCGACCGGTCAACCTATAGCAGCACCTTGCCCCGAATTATGTACGAGTATTGGTTTGTTTAAGGAGGACCCGCGAATTTACCTTATTAAGCAGAACCTCAAGGTATTAAAAAAAATGTTTAAATCGTAATGAATGTTTAAGACGCGGGCCTAGCACATTTATTCGAATCGTTAAAAATTAATTAAAACCCCAACTCGTTAGCCATCCCTCTAATAAAGTACATTACTTTTATATTTTTGGTAGTCACAAGTTAATTTAGTAATATCGAATATCGATATTGGTGATATGATCAACTACTGAGAATTATTGTTGGATTGAGAAAAACAAAGTTATAGCCATGTGATCAATAATTAATAAGAATTATTGTTGGAAAAAAATAAGTTTAACTACTATAAATTACTTTGGAAAATAACTACTACGAATTATTGCAAGGTGAGATAGAAATAAATAAAAAAAAATAAACTGCTTACTTTTTTTACTGGCACGTAGCTCTGCGTGAAATTTTAGAGCCATTACTGACCAACGGACGTCACTTTCTTTCTACTAGTGAACTAATACACTGATGATACACTAAGAGAGCTATGTTTATTTAAGCAAGATGTGAAAAAAGGCACCGCCTGGCTTACGACTGCTCCTGAGTACCATCACTCTTGGAGGCTGAAAACGAAGTGAACGATCCTACGACTTTTGACTATGCTCATACTGTTTTTTAGATCTCTCGCGAACTCCCCACCTCTACTCCCAAACGAACGCTTCGATTATTTCGTACTATGAGCTCTACACGTTAACAAATATTACATTTACAGTAATGAAGTCTTATTCTATTCATTTTCGTGCTTCTCATGATGTATTATATACTTATGTTGTAAGTGATTTGACCAATGAAAAAAAGCTTTTAGCTTAATTGTTTAAACAGTTTTGTTATGGTACACACGTGAAGTTATTAAAAGTCAAGTTCTTAATGATTGTGAAAACTGTGTAATTGATATTTAAATTATTATATTCTTCAGTATACTTATTATAAATGCACGTATTCAATCAATTTTAATTTATAAAAAATGAATTGTAAGTTTAATATTGAAAAATATCGACTTGCGTCTGAAAAATAATGATTAGAAATTACTTTTCTAATTGATTACTTTTCGATTAATTTTATCGTGATTTTTTAGATATTAATTATTAATTGCGGATAAAAACTACAAAGTCATCGTAGACGTGGTGACTAATCGTGCATTTGTTCGCGTATAAATTATAAACTTAATTTAATAATAACCGACTCAACTTATCCTAACTTTCATTACTTGTGAAAAACTTTCGAGTTGTTTTTCTTCATCGCATTTACATTTACAATTGATACAATTATTTAATTTTAAAATTAAAATTAATTATTTGTAGCTATCCCTTGCGTTATAAGTATCTTCAAAAATATAATTTAAATATGAAAAATATTGGTTGATTCTTAGGTTTTACTTATGTTATACGGGTTACCGACAAAATCTCCGCGCGACAAAATCTCTGCGACAAAATCTCCGGGGATAAAATCTCCGGTGACAAAGTTTCCGGAGACATAATCTCCCGGGAAAAAACACGCACGAAAAAACACACTATCACGCATCCCAAACACACTTATACTCATACCAAAAGTCCGAGTAAAAGGAAGAAAAACAAATAACGATAGATATTATGTGTACAGAAGTACCTTTATACATTTATTAACAAGTCTAATAAGTAGAAAAATATAAATTCAAATTCGGCGGAGGTTTTGTCCCGGAGATTTTGTCAGCGGAGATTTTGTCGCGCTCCCATATTATACACTAGAGACTTTTGTGGATGCAGTGCCAATGTACCAGATTAGATAACACTTGCGGTTTTATCACGGGACGCTCCGTTGCTACATAAGTAATTGTTTTGATGAAAAAGCAAATAAATAATCGGATAGCTAATTTTATCCTCTGCCTCATATTAATTCTGTACTAAAATAATAAAAATACCGATAATTAAGATTCTTCATGTTATAGGTAAGAAAGGAATTAGAAGCGTCGGTAAGTGCGATAGCAGAGAGAAAGCGAGGCATATTTGAAAATGAATAGTTGCGTCGGCTAGGACGTCACGTATTTGTACATTCCAGTGTTGCATTTAATTGATTAAAAAATTAATCAAATTGGCTGAAGTTAGCCAATTAAATTTAATTTTTAATTTTAAAGAGTCACGATTAATAATTCAAATTAAATTTAATTTAAAAACTTTCAAAATTATAAACCAATTTTAATTCTTAACTTGACAAGTGATAAATTGAAATTAATTTGAATTAGTAGTCAGGGAATTTTCAAATTTTCGGATTAATATAAAAATTTTAATTTTTAATTTTTAATTTATTAATAAAAATAATTTATTAATAAATTTACTCCAAAAAAAGATGTGAAACATCTTACTATTAATTTAAGAAAATTAAAGAATTCAAAAGTAATTGAACAAGTAAAAGTCGAAACAAAAAAAGAAGTAAAAAATTAAAAAAAATTAAAACTCGAAAAATCAAGAAAAAATCAATTTAATACAAAAATATAAAATCAAACAAGTAAAAAGTAAGAAAACAAAAAAACAAAAAACATGAATGAAAAAAACGAGAAAATCAAGAAAAAGAAAAGTCAGAAAATCCCAACACAAGCATCGATGTTTCACATCTGGTGCATTATCAATGCGTGCTTACTTTTCAAATCGTTCCCTCTCATTGAGTTAAGTAATCAGAGTAGTTTCTTGAGCTTTAGCGCACCAGATGTGAAACATCGATGATAGTGCATAGTCTCGCGACGTACATGCATAGACAACACATACGTATTATATGTATTAGCGATACACATAAGCAAGAGAGAGAAAGATATCTCAACGCAGTCAATCCCGTGAGCTGAGCCGACTGCTGTTGCTTATGCTGTTACGTTGCCTCGTGCGTATACGTAAACACAGGCATACGCGCGTCGAGTCTCGGCAGCGGGCAGCAGCAGAAAGCAGTTCTGTAGCTGGCGCGGCAGCCAATCACAGCGCGTAGCGCAAACCGACGCTGTATAGGCAGTTCTACGACCAAAGTTGCGCTCGCTCGGACGGACGGACGGACGGACGGACGGACGCTCGGTTTTTACGGGTTTACCCCTGACACCAAACGCGAATATAGATGTTTCACATCAAAATATAGATGTTTCACATCAAAATTTTGCAAAATTTTGGCTTGAATTTCGTTCCAGTGGCTCCTATAGATTTCTCAGAATGTTGTAAAGAGTGAGGAAAAAAGTGATTTTTTGAGAACCCGAAGCCGAATTACTGAATTTTCAGCAACAAAAACGCATCCCCTAAAAACAGCTGTATCTCGGCGAAATTAAGACCGTTTTAAAATTTAAATACGGCGTTGGAAAGGTGAGACAAAAACCTATCAAAAATCCATTAACATTTTTTAAATAAGTGCTGAGCAGTTTGTTTTTTTTTTTTTTTTTTTTGAAGANTTGAGCAGTTTTTTTTTTTTTTTTTTTTTTTTGAAGAAACAAATGCACTTTTCTTGGTTTAAAAACCACGTTTTCGGCACAAACGAGTAGGCAATTTATGCAAACAAAATTATTCCAAATCGTAAACATATTTTTGTATTATTTTGACGAAGCAATTGTCGAAAAACACCAAGTAAATCATACACAAATCAGCATATACCGAGGGCATATAGCATCTGCAATCAACGATCTTTTTTCGCATCTTTGCCTGTATTTTATGCTCAGAAACCCAAAAATCGTTTTTTTCACTTCGTGTAGCTCGACATGAAAAATTCAAATTATCTGTCAGGCCTGTGTCTCGTTCAGTCTATTATTCAATATTAATTTTCCTTCGTGATAATATTTTTCTCTGAATCACCGGTTTTTTTGTTTAACTAAAATTATAAAAATTCATGGAGAATCATTCAATTTTCAGCTGATAAACCAATAGCATGCGTATGGATTGCAGCTGAATTTCAGGCGTTTCAAAGGGCAATTGGTACTCAGGATAAAAAAAAGTGTCCTTCGCTCAGAGCAGGATTTAATTATTTTTTATAGAAAGAACGATGATGTTGATTCTTCATTCCAATTTATGGAAAATTAAGTACAATTCAGAATTTTGGAAGAAAATAAATTGCACAAAAATGAAATTTAAGCACTTTTTCGTAAAAAAAAAATAATTTAAAATAGACCTAGGAGAAACGAAGAATAAAGTAATTGTATTCAAAAATTTCAAATGCAAGTGTCAAAAATAGTATATTTTGCACCTAGGGAATGAAAAACTGGAAAGTCTCAGAGCACGTATAATTTATCATCCGAAGCGAAGCCAAAGTTGATAATCACGTGCTCTGAGACTTTCTTTTTTCGCTACATAGGTGCAAATACAATTTTTTGTGAATCCCCCAGCCTAAAATAACATTTTTAGTACGATTTACATATTATAATTTCAATTGTTATTTATTCAATTGATACACTGATGATACAGTGTAATTCATTGAAGATCACATGAAGCCTGAATTTTGTTATTTTATGAGCAGGATCAAGTGATCAATTGGTACATCTAATATCGTTCGATTATGAAACATTCGAATAATAGGGTGGAATCTTATTGGCACAATTTCTATTCAAATTTCAGGTAAATTTTTTTTAACACTGCGTGCGCGAAACACGGGTTTTCTAACCTTAAAGCGTCAGAAAACCCTAGTTTCTCGCAAGCAGAGTTAAAAAATATCGTTTGCAACTAGTCCGCGAGGAAGTTGACTCATCCAGGAGTCTTTGCACCCTCGCTACGCTCGGGTGAAAACAACTCCTGGATGAATCAACTGCTTTGCGCACTTGTTACAAAATATACTATACTTGGATATCTATATAAATTTTTATATACATATAAGTTTGAGACATTTTTATAAACAATGCATCAAGATAGAGATAAGTTTAATACAGTTTAATCATCAAATTATGTAAAGAATAGCTTCAATAAAATATCATTGAACTTGTAGGAGGGCGAGGGAACCTTCAAATTTTTCGTAAATAACTGATCGGTCATGTGAAATTATGGCCCTCATGAGCAAATCGAATGTGGAGAATCAAATTACGATTACATGCAAAATTTGATTCGATGATTGTTGTCACGATACGCGTTACATTTCTAATTGTACTTTTCCGATTGGCGAATCTATAAATTTCATGGTATGTTAGTGTCAACTACAATTTGATGGACTACATAATTTCTTCTTGCACTTGTCGCATGTAAAGTCTTAATTGACATCGTGGAATTTTTTTTGATGCTTCCTTAAATTTTGCTTAAGCCCGAATTTCTTCTCGCATTTGTCACATGTAAAATCTTTGCGACCTTCGTGGATTATTTTTTGGTGCGAAATCAAACTCGATTTTTGGGCAAATGTCTTATCGCATTTGTCGCATGAATAATCTTTCTGACCTTCGTGGACTGTCCTTTGGTGTAAGAGAAAAGTTGATTTGTATCCGAATTCTCTTCCACACTTGTCGCATACGAAATCTTTGCGACCTTCGTGGACTATTTTTTGGTGTTTCAACAAATCTGATTTACTTCCAGATTTAAGCTCGCACTTGTCACATGCGAAATCTTTGCGACCTTCGTGGACTATTTTTTGGTGCTGAGTCATAATCCATTTTAGTGCAAATTTATGTTTGCATTTGTCACATGTGAAATCTTTACGACCTTCATGCATAATTTTTTTGTGAGTGAGCAAATTACTTTGCTGACCGAATTTCTTCTCACACTTATCGCATGGAAAATCTTTGCGACCCTCGTGGACTGTCCTTTGGTGAAAGAGCAAATTAGATTTTTGTCCGAATTTCTTCTCGCACTCGTTGCATGCAAAATCTTTGCGACCTTCGTGTACTAATTTTTGGTGCTGTAACATAATCCATTTTAGTCCAAATTTCTTCCCACACCTGTCACATGATGCGTAATCTTGGCGAGCTTCGTGGACTGCTTTTTGGTGTGCTGTCAAATTGCTTCGAACCCCAAATTTTTTCTCGCACTTGTCGCATGCAAAATCTTTGCGACCTTCGTGTACTAATTTTTGGTGCTGTAACATCATCCATTTTAGTCCAAATTTCTTCCCACACCTATCGCATGGGAATTCTCGCACTTCGTGGACGGTCTTTTGATGTACGAGCAAATTTGATTTTTTCTCGAACTTTATCTCGCACCTATCGCATGAATAATATTTTCGATCTTCGTGAACTACTTTTTGATGGTGGAGCAAACTCGTTTTTTGTGTAAATGCCTTCTCACACTTATTGCAAGCGTAATCTTTGCGACCTTCATGAATTGCCCTTTGGTGCTTGTACAAAGCTCCTTCACTTCCAAATTTCCTCTCACAATTGTCGCATACAAAATCTTTACGACCTTCATGGACTGCCCTTTGGTGTCTCATCAATTTCCATTTTTGTCCCATTTGCTTTTCTAGCTTGTTGTGTACTGTCTTTATGTGCAAGAGCAAATTTTGCTTATTTCCAAATCTCTTGGCGCACTTTTCACACAAGTAATCTTTGAGAACTTCGTGAAATATTTTTTTATGCTTGAGTAAAGTCGATTTATTTTCAAATTTTCTCTCGCACTTGTTGCATGAGAGGTCGTCTTGTTTTTTGTGAATTAATTTCTGATGTGTGAACAAACTCGATTTTTTCACAAATTTCTTCTCACATCTGTCGCATGGAAAATCTTTGTGGCTTTTGTGTTCTGATATTTGGTGTCTACTCAAATGACTTCGGAACTCAAATTTCTGTTCGCACTTATCGCAAGAGTAATCTTTTAGCTCATTGTGAATTGTGTCTCGGTGCATTATCATGCTTGATTCGAGAGTAAATGCCTCCTGGCAAATATCACTAACGTATTGTTTTTCATCTGAAATAACAAAGTCGTGTTCACTTGAGTTATTTTTTGTGATAACTTGTTCAATTTTATCCTCACCTTTATACATTTTGGCACCTGAATTAACCGATATAGTTCAGCCTATTTACTACCCCGGTAATTGAATGAGTAAAATTTATCTTCGATATAAATATGGCTTAGAGCTTGTTTCGTCGGAAAAGGTACGATACAAACTAATTTGTTTTAACTATAAACATGATTAGTATGTCGAGGGACCATGTCAAAGTCGTTTATATGATCATATTGTTTACAATTACGTTACCAATTTATCTATTTATAAATTATCCTTACGACATTTGAAATAAATTAAAATCTAACTTGGTGACGACTAAATTATATACTACCATTTGATGAGAATAAATAGCATATTTTTCTCATGTTATGCTGCAAAACTTACTACATCTTAATAAGTTAACAAAATTTATTGTTATCATTCTGTCGACTAATATTTAAAAAGAAGAAAAAAAACAAGTATTTCAGAAAAATGTTCATCCCATGAGTCATGACTCGGGACTGCGCGAGTGGCTAAATCTACAATTTCCCAACAAAACATACCATGAAAATTTAATTTTTTGTCATAAAACATTGATTGAGAAAATTAAAACTAATCGTGTATTTTTAGGTTTACTGCTATGATATTAAATATTATTGTTGAAAAATTGACTGCTTTTCATTTAAAATAAAATCATGAAATGAGATATAAATAAACAATTGAAAATTGTGATTTGTGACATTCATCTAGATGCGGCTATCCTCCTCGTCTAATTATATCCCATAGCATTTATACTCACTGACTTTATTCGCTACTTATCACTGGAAAGTTAATGCAAATTATATTATCAAACGTTTACTTGAATATGTTTTACGTCTCAGTCTCTGGTCACCTTTATCTCGTTCACTGAGAGTCATGGGTATTACTTTCTACGATGATTCTCTCTAAAGAACACAGCGTGTAGTTACATTTGTCATTTATCAAGGCAAAACAGCAAAAGTGAATTATAATTTAAAAAATCGAATAATTTATTGAATAACCAACATTAGTGCCATGCTCTTGAATGACAAAACATTTTCAATTTTTTTGGATCTATGAGAAAGTTCTGTGATAGGCTCGAAAAGGAGTTTTAGCAACCATGTCCTATGAATGATTTTGTTCACATATTATGTAAATTAGATTGAATTACCGAAAAATGTCTGTGTATGATGTGCGTGTATGTTTGTAAAGCATTATCTTAAAAACAGGGCGTATATTTGTCTGAAGAAATGAACCGAAGCCAGACAGAGATTAGACGAGATCGTTAACCAATGTAATGTGTGCGCGCAAGTCGAAAATTATAAATATTTAAACGCACCGAAAAACGTGATAGAGCGACGAGCATGACATACGTGACTATTGTCGCGTTGGAGAGCGCGATGATATGTGATTTTTTTGTTTTTGTTTTTATTTATTTATTTTTTTTGTTCACAGACAAAAATGATTTTTGCAAATTAGCGAGGTGCTTGCACAAAACATGATTTAAAATACAATACTATTAATTGATTTTTTGCAGATTTTTTTATTTATGATAAAAATATGAAGCTTGTTTTAAATGGCCTAGACATTACAATTATATTATAATAAACAATTTACACCGTTTTCCAATCACTCTAAATAAGGTAATACCAATTTAGATCTTCACCACTCTAAGAAACACTTTCATCCTTTACATATAAATCTGCTAGTGACAAAGTCAAAATAATTGTACAAATCAAAGCAAAGTTTTTGAATTAGTGTCTTGTTATTAATATTAATAACCATAATTTACGTAAATTTTTTGAGTAAAAATGATAATGTTCAAAATTATATTAAATTGCATTATATTATTTTAAATTATATTAAAAATTATATGTTACTAAATATTAAAAAATAAAATGGAACATCATATGACCACAGAATATTGAAAAAAACGTATGATTAAAACATGCCCAGTTCCAATGGCCGGCCTTGCATGTTTGAGAAACTTTTTCGTAAACCAAAAACCAGATATGAAATGTGGAGAATTTCTACCAGGCTTGGCTTGGAAAACAACCAAGACATCTGCCGCCTTCGTCGACGAGCTTGTTTGGGCATCGTTTTTTTCCAAGCTCTGGGAAAATAATCAAGCTTAAGACTCTGAACCCACGAGCGATGATTCATCGGACCATTGTCACAGCCATCGTCTTTATATTTGTTGAATCATAATTAATCCAATTAAAATACGCTTACGCTTGTTTTCATGATTATTTTACTTATTTGCGCCAATGATCTTTCGTGAGCACAATCTAATCTGCCGCAAACACCATGCGAAAATCATTGAGCAACAATTAAACAAATATCTTGGCTGTTTTATTACAATTACGAGCGCCGTGAGATAATTTTTATTTTTTCGTAAGCGATTATAAAAATGCGCCAAGCGGAGCACTCGTCGACAGTAGTGTCGTATTATCGTTTGATCGTGATTCGAGTGCCAAATCGATTCTGTACACCATGAAGGGTTTGATCCTCGCGTCTGCCTTGCTCTTCGCCGTGGTTAGTGCTGCACCGAAATTAACAGACATTGAAACGGAGACAATGATGTTGGAATGTATGTTGGACAACTACGGCAAGGATCCACGTGAGTGTCAATCGCAGGTTTCATCTTCTTAATTTTTGGATGTATCGTTATTCATGGTGATTAAATCAATTTCAGGCGATATGAGCCTCGATCACAACGAGACGCAGATCATGTCTTGCTTCTTCCATTGCGACTTGTCACTCGGGGGAGCGGTAAGTGTTATACATATTTTCCACACGTTTCGGAATTAATGAATCGGAAAAAAAAATTATTTTTCTCATCGTACGAACAGATCTACGAAGATGGCACGCTTAATGTGCCATTTCTCGAGAAGATTATGGCAGACAAAATCGCAACCAGCGATTTTCCCGTTCTAGAGCTTTTCATTAAGGTTTACTACGAGTGCAAGAGAGGTAAGCTGAACGCGTTCACTTTGTTATATACTTGCTGCACGATTTTATACGGTTTTAAATTGAAAATTCGCAGATTATCCCGATCACTGCGACTGGTTTATCTGCGCGAACCGAAAGTGGCCCCAGTCAGGTGAGAAAGGGATTCTCGATGAGATGTTCGAAGAACCGAAGACCTTGAAGAATGATAAAGAATACAAATCCTTGGGACGCAGGATACCTGAATAATTAACCACAAAAGATATACATAGTTCATTGAAAAAGATTAAATAGATGCTATTTTTTGCAATAAAAATAAAAAAAAAAACAAAAAAAAAAGACGTCGTTGTTTCTCCTCACTACTAAGCCTATACTTCTTCGCTGCCTCTGATAATCAAGACTCATTTCAAATTGAACTTTTCGCCAATTTGCGCGATCTTTTCCAATTTTAGTTACATAGTTTTCTGATTACTTTATGTTTTTTATTCGAACAAAATATCTGAAATTCAAACTGTTGATGAAAAAAAAATCAAATAACAAATAAGGAACTCACGAAAATATTCGTATAAAATAATTAATATTATCAAAAATTTATCTTACATTAGTGCTTTCTCAGTGTGCCTCGCGTACTAGGGCAGTATTATACTATTCATTCTCTTTTATCGACGCGCAAAAAAAAGTTTTGAGACGTTGCCAGGCGAATTTTAATGTAGGGTTTCAATGTAGGGTTGTTTCATCGCGTATAAGTATACTTGCGCGAACGTCGAGATATAGATAAGTTTCGAAAACTCTTTTGGCAGACCGCAGTTTCCCATGCTACGCTTATGTGTCTGTAATATACATATTATATATGCTTCCACGATGTGCATTTCTGCTCAGAATCGGGTATAATGTTCGAAAAAATACATGCATGAACATACATTTTAATGAACTTCAATTATTTTAGCCTTTCTGTTGTATGATAATTTTAATACATGATTACCAATCAGATCTTTTTTAAAGACCATGATGCAGTTTTTTCCTTTGGCACACTGATTGGTCAATGTTAAATTAGTATCGAGCCTCAACGATTATTCTTCCGAGCATTTGAAGAATATTAGATATGTCAATTGTATGTTAAATTATATGTATGTATTTTTTCAAGTTTATTAGTATATGGCTCTAGCAACTGCTCTGGCCGAAGTGATCATCTCTCCTAGTGTAAAGAGAGACCAGGCCAAAGGAACAATTACTAAACAAACAAATAACGGTTACTTGGTAACCGATCGAACAATATGAAAAAAAAAATCAATAAGTTAACAATAAGTCTACGAGCCAACAAACTTGCTCTTTTATTCATTGGCCTTCATTGTATGGCGCGTACAAACCGTCAAAAGTCAATGCGAACAGGAATTTTTCATCGCTTGCTCAACAATGCTTAAGTGATCGTGTTACGCGCCACGGGCACGAAGTTCCGAGTCTATAGTCCGAACGGTAGCATTGAGGGCAATTTTTTAGTGCCTCAAGTACGAGTGGATCTTTGGACTTGGTGTTTGTTAAAAATCGAAACGAAATTTCTAATACGATAAGCCGCCGATTACAATCGAATCATGGCTGAGGAGGAAATGAAAATAAACGAAGTCGATGACTTCTTTGACTTGCACTACTTCGCGTTGAATAAAAAATTTCAAATTATCACAGGTTTGTGGCCACTGGAAACTGGATATTTGAAGTACCTTAAGCAAGGCGCAATGGCTTCGGTTATAATCTGGAACTTGATCTTGTTTGTATGTATCACAACCGATTAAAGAGAGGCAAGCGAAATGATTAAGATATATTTTGTAGAGTCACGCATTAGGTACATTTTGCGGCACTAACATGGATTACTGCTGCGAAAACATGATTGCGTTTGTTTACTCGACATCGGCGATTTTCAAATTAATTGGCATATCGACCACCGGAGCCAAGGTAACTCACAAAGAGATACACCTTCAGGATAAGTGATCGTATATCGTGAATGATAATATTTTCACAGTTTACAGTAATTTACAGGATGATCGCCAGAAACTGGCGCAATACGACCGATAAGGTTGAACGCTCGATACTGGAAAAATATGCCCTAATCTCGAAAAGATTGTCTTTGATATACATTAGTACGCATTCATTGTATCGTCACACGCGCGAATGCCGATTTTTTAAAAATCATTTTTCCAGTTGCGTTTTCGTGTATCGCCACAATCGTCACCCAGCTTCCTTTCATCCCTCTTCTACTGAACGTTATAATGCCGCTGAACGAGTCTCGAGAGGCAATCATTGTCATCAACACGGATTACAGCATCACGCCTTACACGAAGTCCGGCCATCTGTGGGTGCATTATAGTTTAACGGGGACGACCACCGCAGCGGTCTTCATTGCCACCGACGCGACCTTCTTGCTCGTCGTTTTCCAGATACTCGCGATCTTCGAGGTCGTCAAGTGAGTCGTTACAAATTCAAATTCCTATAAATGCTCGAATCGTAACGTTGAGAAATCGTTTATATAGGCAGAGAATCCGTCAAGCGGTTTTGGTTGCACAGGAAAGTTCTGAACAAAAGTCATATGGAATTTTGATAAAGGCTGTGCAATTGCACAAGGATGCTATACAGTTGAGTTAGGTCCAAGGTGCTTTTTCTACAAAAATAAATAAATAAATAATTCACTGTTTCATAGGTTTTTACAATTGACCGATGAGGCGAATAGTTTGCAATTTTTTGCCGGACTGGGCGGTACCATTTTTATGATTAGTTTCGGCTCAATAGCGGTGAGTATCGTCAATTATTTAACAGATCATGTTTTACATAGATTGATGTAAATTAAATGAAATTCATTTACGAAAAATTATTAAATCAGTTGTTGATTCGCATGGACGCTTATGCAGATTTGTTCCGAGTAGTAATACTTACCATGGGTTATCTTTTTCAATTATTTATTTTATGTTTGCTTGGTGAGCTCGTAATAAATGCCAGCACCGAGTTATTTAACTTTCCGTACGTAATAGTAATTAAAGATACAAGTGCCAGATACTTTATAGCTCTACATTGCATAAGTTCACGTTTGTGGCCAGAACCTGCGACTATTATGACTTGAAAAAGGGGTTATGAACTTTTTTATACGTCTATAAGAACCTTTGCTACGCTTGGGCCCTAAGTTACGCCATGTCAGAAAGTGTTACTTATGGCTCTTGTATCATAAAGTACCATTATGGTACGGCGTGGTTTTGAATCCGAGCGCAGCAAGCACTTCTGATGCTTAATGGTCCATGAACTTATGTCACGCAGAGTTATAAAATGTTTTTACGCACGATTAAATTTTCCGAATCGTTTATAATGAATTGTGTTTTTTTCAAGGATGCTAACCGATTGGCATGTTTTACCCATTAAATCCAAAAAATTGATCCTGTTTTTCATGGGGAGAACCATTCGACCTAGTTATTACACAGCAGGTGGATTGTACATTATGAATGTTCAAAACTTCGCCTCGGTAATTCTTCATAAATTTTTTTATTCGTTTAAAAGCTATTTTTAAATAGTTAACAAAGTTACCTTAATGAATTAATTTCAGATAATCAAAACAGCCGTATCCTACATCGCCGTCGTATTACAGTTTCGTTGATCTGGGATTCAACTTTATGGGCTATTTTAATAAATGTTCGATATTTTTCTGTATTTTTTCTGCCTCATAAAACCCAATATATGTAACTTTTAAAAGTTCATTGTTTTTGTCATGAAAAATCCTACATTTTAATGTATTGTAAGTTCTGATTGAATTGAAATTGTTTATATTAAATGCAAATGAAAAAATGGTCATTTTAGAGGGTTTTTTGCATTTTTCTCGGTAAATAGTTAAAGTAATCAATCTTGGTTGGGCTCAAATTAAAGGTCTAATTAATCGCTATAACTTTTATTTGAACTTTATTTCGATCGCTGTTCATGGAAAAACTACAGAAGCGAAAATTAGCTAATATTTTTCCGGCCTTCTAATCATCCCCCTACCCCAACAGCAACTCAAAAAGTTACGCAGCTGGGGGTACTTGTTGTACTCATCAAGACCAACATATCCCATATGGTCCGGTCCTGTCATTAATTTTTACCAGAAAATTTTTAACTTGACTGGACTATAAAAGTAATCTCAATCAAAATATCCATTCAAGGCACAATGGTGTCAAATATATACATGTGATATGTGCGGCAAGAACTTTACACAAAAAGGTTATCTCAAAAAACACATTGATTTAGCGCACATGGGTATCATCCGTCCATGTGATATATGCCAAAAGACATTTAGAACAAAATATTTCCTCCAGACCTATATCGATACTGTCCATAATATTGTCACACACACATGTGGTACACGCGGAAAGTCGTTTTCTAAAAAGTGTAATTTGAAAACCCACGTAGATACATTGCATAATGGTACGAATTATGCATGTGATAAATGCGGAAAGTTATGTTCACAAAAGTTTAATCTGAAGACCCATATAGGTGCGGTACATAATATATGTCACTCATGCATGCAAAGTATGCCAAAAGTCGTTCAAAACTAAAAATTATCTCAAAACCCACATGGGTATGGTGCATAATGGCGTCACCCTGTCATGTGATATTGGCAGCAATTCATTTTCAAATAAATTTAATCTCCAAACCCAAATCGATTCGATGCATAATGGTGTCACCCACTCATGTGATATTATGTGGGCGCCAGATTGAGGAATAAATATTAAAATTTTCTATGATACTACTTGACGCCACGGAGAATGTTTTGTAGCACTTAGTTTTAGAAGGCAAGAAAATTCTCCAAAGAAATCGTTGCCAAGTTTAAATTGTAATGTTGTTCAAATTTAGAAGGATCTAAGTATAAACTGATGAATCGTAATTCAATTGTAAACAATATGTTCGTAAACGATTTGGAAATTACCCATATAATACTGATTATGTGTACAGTAAAATCAAATTAGTTTGAATGTTATCTTTCCCGATGAAACAAGTCATAAAACCAAAAGATAAATTTTACTTATCATGAAATAATTCATGTGATAATTTTAATTTCTACTAAATAGTTTCAAAAAATAATTTGAGTAAACAAGACACTGCTTTTAGACGACAAAAACGCGTTAAGGTTACTGGCCAGGAAGCATTTACACTAGAATCGAACATGATAACCCTGCGAGACACAATTCATCATGAACAAAATGATTACTCATGCGACAAGTGCGAACAGAAATTTGAGTTCCGAAGTCATTTAAGAAGACACCAAATATCAGAACACAAAAGCCTCAAAGATTTTCCATGCGATCAGTGCGAGAAAAAATTTGTGAAAAAATCGAGTTTGTTCACACATCAGAAATTAGTTCACCAAAAACAAGAAGATCTCTCATGCAACAAGTGCGAGAGAAAATTTGAAAATAAATCTAGTTTACACAAGCACAAAAAAATATTCCACGAAGTTTTTAAAGATTACTTATGTGAAAAGTGCGCCAAGAGATTCGGAAATAAACATAGTTTGCTCGCACACATTAGGAGAGTTCATGAGGGTCGCAATGATTTTGCCTGTAACAATTGCGGAGAAAAATTTATTAAAAAATCGCATTTGTTATTTCACCTGAAGGCAGTACACAACGTCTTCAAAGATAACTTGCGTGACGATTCCGGAAGGAAATGTGGATATAAAAGGAGTTCGCTCTCGCCCATAACAGCAGCCCATGAAAAAAACAAAGATCACGTTTGCGATGAATGCGAGAAAAAATTTGGACACCAGAGATTTTTGATTAGACACCAAAATACAGTACACGAGGGTTGCAAAGATTTTGCGTGCGACAATTGTGAGAAGAAATTTGGGAAAAAAGTGAATTTGATTAGACACCAAAAAATAGTACACGAAGGTCGCAAAGATTACGCATGTGATGATTGCGAGAAAAAATTTGGACTTGAATCGGATTTAATCAGGCATCAAAAAACAGTACACGAAGGTCGTAAAGATTACATATGCGACCGATGCAAGAAGAAATTTGGAAGAAGAGTAAATTTTATCAGACATCAGAATATCGTTCACAATGATGGCAACGACTTTGCGTGCGACAGTTGTGAGAAGAAATTTGGATATAAAACAGTTTTGTTGACGCACCAAAGAACATTACACGAAGGTCGCAGAGATTACTCCTGCGATAAGTGCCAGAAAAAATTTGGACTGAAACAGCATTTGCTTGTCCACCAAGAGACAGTACACGAAGGCCGCAAAGATTTTGCATGCGATAAATGCGAAAAAAAATATGGTCAAAAATCACATTTGCTAGAGCACCAAAAAACAGTACACGATGGTCGCAAAGATTTCGCGTGTGACAAATGTGAGAAGAAATTTGGATACAAAACGCATTTGCTCAGGCACCAAATTACAGTTCACGAAGGTCGTAAAGATGTGACATGTGACAAGTGCGATAAAAAATTCGGAACTCAAAGCAATTTGATAAAACATGTAAAATTTGTTCACTTAGGTCGCAGAGATTACTCTTGCGACAAGTGCGAGATGAAATTTGGGGATAAAAGAAATTTGAGAAGACATCAACAAATAGTTCACGAAGGTCGTAAAGATTACGAATGCGACAGATGCGAGAAGAAATTTGGTTATAAACAGCATTTACTCGGCCACAAAAAGACAGTACATGAAGGTCAGAAAGATTACGCATGCGAAAAATGCGACAAGAAATTTGGACAAAAATCGAATTTGCTCACTCACTTAAAAATATTACATAAGGATCGTTAAAATTTCGCCCGCAAAAAATGTGAGAAGAAATTGAAGGATTAAAGGAATTTGATTACTTAACAAAAAGCAGTCTGTGACATTAAGAACCAAAATTACCGAAAAGTATAAGTTTTTTTCAAAGGCGAATTCTATTAGTCTATATTATAATTTATTGACTCTCGAAATATTAAGAATGAAACTCAAAAAAGTTGAATTGCAGCTAATTTATATTTTACACAATTTGACGAGTTAATTGTAAAATAATAATTTGTTATACCTTTTTTATAATGATTTGCTTTGCCATTAACTTTTTAAACATCTTTCAATTTTTTTTTCATAATCGACTATATGCGCGTTTGCCTCCAATTTCACGTCAGTGATTGAATGAATAATTGATTACTTATACGAATATCTTGAAATCATTGCAGTCATATACTTTGAATAGTTCGCCAGAGAATATCATATATCTCTTTAGTGAAACATAAAAAAAACTTTTTTCTTGATAATTGTAAATGAGTACAGAAACTTATATCTGTTCAAGGACCAGTTTTACTAAAATTTGAATAAAAGTTGTGCCATTATGATTGTGTTTTATTTAAACTTTGTGCTATCAACTATCGTTACACTTTTGTTCTCTGTCATGACGGTACTTTCACTTTGAACCAGATTTCAAATTCTGTTCATTATTGCTCCTCATGAAATGTTAGCTGGTTGGCTCCTGCAGCTATCAGAATCGAAGAGCACACCTCACACAATATCGATACAACATTCTAAAGTAAATTTTGCGAAAATTCTTTACCGATAAGTTTCATGCGTGGCAGTATTGTTTTAAATTTTTTAATTTTCCATAATTTGCATCATTTTTTATTAACGAAAAAGGATGAACTTGTTCTGTGAAAACAAGCTTGTAGAGTAGAGTAGCTTGTAAAGCTTGTAGATATATTTATCAGTTCTCCATAATTCAAACTACACTGCATACTGATTGCAATCATAAAACATGATGTACCCAGAAAATGAGCAAACTTTTCATTGAAAACTTTACTTGCGTTGATACGATGAAATTTTGGATCTTTTTTGTTTACTTTCAAACAATCGAAACCTTCGAAATAACTTTGCAATCGTCAATACACTATCGGAAAAAATTTCAACGCGATAAGCGCAGTAGTGATTCTGAAAATGGATTTGCAATCAGAATGGTATGCATTTTGTGAACTGCATGAAAAGTACTGTAATTTAATTACTTTTCAGAAATTTGTTCTTGGTAATTGTATACTTAATCCGTACGTGGCAGAAAAATATATCATGATGTTTGGCAACTGGAGTGGTAGTGAAATATCATTTTTAAGTGACAGTTATTCTTCTTTATTTATTTTCGATGTGACTGGATTTAATAATATTTTATTTTCTGCTCGATATCAACGTTTGAAAAATGTTGTTAGAATCAATAATACAGTTTTGGAAAGAAAAATTTACCCGGCTAGTATCGTCATGATTGAAGAGACTCGGGATTTTAATTTTTTAACATTTATCCAAGCCTTTAGTGACTCTATTTTCTGGAACAGTCAAGCATCATTTTTAGTGATAAATAAGAATCCTAAGACTTCCTGCCCTTCGGCATATTCGGTGTTGAATTTGGCTTGGAAATTTGAACTTTTAAACATGTTTTACTTATGTGTAAATTCAAATTATAGTGATATTCTTTATACTTATAACCCGTTCTCCTCGATAGCTACACCTTTTTGGAAAATCGAACCTGATTCTACGACCAATGCCAAAAATTTTACATTACTTTCTCGCGATATCACGAAATTATGGAGAAAAGCTGGTTAGTGATTAACCATTTTTCAATCTCAATTTTTTAATATATTTTTCAAAAACTATGATTTCATTTTCCTCTTTAGTTATTAATCAAACCGAAATATGTTATTTCGACAAACTGC